AAAATCGGTCACAAAGTCGGCTAAAACTTATGACTTAATCATAGTCCTAGATTTATATTTTATGTCAAATTCACTCATTTCAACTGCCCTTTTGGCAGCCTACCTGAAAGTTCAGGTTTATGAAGAACATTTCGCATGGGAAAAGTGGTCACCATGGCTATCAAATAATATTGGAAATAAGGCCTAAGCTTTCGAACGGCGACTACGAGAGCTAAGGATAATTTCTCGATATGTGGGTAGCGAGTTTATGGTCTTGTTAAAATTTTACTAACATAATAAATATGATATTGTGTACCTTCATCCTCACAAACTAAAATGGCACTTACCGCAACCTTCGAGACCGCTAAGTAGATCAATAATTGTTCGCCTTCCTTCGGTTTTGACAATAATTGAGGACTTGACAAATACCTTTTCAAATCCTTTAAAGCCTGTTGACATTCCGGAGTCCATTCAAAATTGTTCTTCTTTTTTAGTAGCAAAAATAAATGATGGCATTTCTCTGAAGACCGGAAAATGACTCAAGTCAAAATGGCCAGTCTCCCTTTTAGCCTTTGAACCTTTTTCACGTTTGATAACTGGTTCAGGATGTCTTCGATGGCTTTAATTTTATCAGGGTTAACCTCAATCCCCATTTGCGACACCAGGAATCCCAGGAACTTATCATAGCTGACCCCTAACGCACACTTCTCTGGGTTAAGCTTCATGTTGTGCTTCTTTAAGATGTCAAAGGTTTCTTGTAGGTATTTAAGATGATCACCTGCATTCAAAGACTTAACCAGCATATCATCTATGTAAACCTCCATAGTTTTCCCTATTGTTTCTCAAACATTTTGTTTACGAGCCGTTGATAAGTGGCTCCGGCGTTCTTTAGCCCGAAAGGCATTACATTATAACAATATGTGCCGAAGTTCGTTATGAACGAAGTTTTTTCTTGATCCTCTGGGTTTATCTTGATTTGGTCGTACCTGGAGTAAGCATCAAGGAAACTCATTAACTCGTGCCCGGTTGTTGCATCAATCATTTGATCAATGTTCGGTAATGGGAACGAGTCTTTGGGCATGCCTTATTTAGATCCTTGAAGTGTACACACATGTGAAAATTATTATTCTTCTTTGGAACTACTACTACGTTATCTAGCCAGTCAAGATACTTTACCTCTCAGATTGAACTGATATCAAGCAAACGAGTAACCTCTTCTTTGACGAATTTATCTCTGACCTCGACGATAGGACATTTTTTATTTTGCCTTACCGAAGGGATGTTAGGATCCAAACTTAGTTTGTGCACGGGCACTTCCGAAGGGATACCTGTCATATCTGCATGCGACCACACAAAAAAATCAACGTTAAATTTAAGAAATTCGATAAATCCAAACCTGAGCTCAGGTTTAGTCTTGTACCCAAGTGAAACTTCCTCTCCAAGAACTTCTCGAACAACGCGACTTGTTCAAGTTCTTCCACTGTGGATTTTGTCACATTCGTTTCTTCTGGTACCTAAAAATATCTTGGTACCTGATGGGATTTCGATGACTCCTCCCCTCAGTTGAATTTGCTCAGCTCAGGAGCAGGCACCGATTCTTGTAATTTCTATGTTGTATGTTCTTTCCCTTTGCTACTGGAAACTGAGATTGTATTCATCTCCCTTGCTGGCGGTTGGTTTCCTTTAATTTGTTTAATTCCCTCGGGAGTTGGGAATTTCAGCAATTGATGATATGTTAATGGCACAGCTTTTCTCGTGCAGCCATGGTCTCTCCAGTATAATATTGTAGCCCATATCACCATCTACTACCTCGAAAAGGGTTGTCTTCATCACCCCATCGGCATTCGTGGGTAGCAGGATCTCTCCCCGGATTGTCACACTTGCCATATTGAACCCGGCGAGGAGTTTTGTGGCCGGAATAATACTTTCGGTCAGCTTGGCTTGCTCCAACACTCTCTACTGGATAATATTGACCGAACATCTTGGTCCTGCCAAAACACATATAAAGAGATTACTAGGGCATCGTTGTACAGCAACAATAGTTCATTTGCGTCTTCCCCCCACAAAATTAATGTCGTCAGACTTCCTGGAGTCTCTTACTTTGGGTAACTGATACCTTCGTCTTCTTTGCCGCCAAAAAAGTCACACCATTAATCTCATTCCCCTAAAAATCATGTTGATTGTCAAATGTGGAGGATCTTCTCCTAATTTCGAAGGTTCAACATTATCATGATTGTAGTCGTAGTTGTTTTAAGCCCAGACTCTTAAGAATTATCTCAGATGGCTATTTTTCAGCAATGTTGCCACCTTCTCGCGCAGATGTCGGCAGTCCCTTGTCGGGTGGCCATTGGTCCCATGGTATTCGCACCAAAAATTAGGATCCCTTTGGTTGGGATCGATTCTCATTGACTTTGGGAACCATGCCTCTTTAATGTTTCTCATAGTCGACACCAAATCTACTATGCTGATGTTGAAGTTGTATTCGGAAAGCCTGGGTAGGAGGAATCTCAAGAACCTGATATCTCCTTGTCCTGTAACCTGTTATTTTGGTCGCGATCAGCTCACTTATCGGTAGCAAATCTATCCGCCAATCGAAAAATTCTGTCTTGTCCTTCGGCCCTTTCATAGGTCAAAAATCGACCCCTTGAAGACCGTCGATCTGATTCGAAGTCATCATTTGACTCTCCTTATTCTTTTCCCGATCCTGACCCTTGTTGATGCTAGAAAACTTAGCCGATCATCTTTAAATCTCATCTTTTACTCATAACGGTCGTGAACATCTGCCTATGTTGTTGCCTAAAACTCAAGCAGACTTTCTTTCAACTTTTGGGAAGCATCGAAACTTCTCGGATTCAGCCTTTTAGTAAATGCTTTAGTTGCCCACTCGTCTGATACGGTCGGGAACAACATTCTTTCTTTTTGGAATTTGGTCACGAACTCTCGTAGTAATTCGGGCTCTCCTTATGCAATCCTAAATATGTCGGCCTTTTGGGGCCTGCACCATCCTAGCCCCGGTATGGGCCTTGATGAAGGAATTCGCGAGCATCTCGAATGAATCTATAGAGTGCTCGACAGAAGTGAATACTATGTCAGGGCCCCCTTCGTGAGGGTCTCTCCCAAATTCTTTAGTAAGACTAACTCAATCTCGTGCAGAACTAAATCGTTTCCTTTCTACCATTGTATAGGTGGCGATATGCTCTTGAGGATCTGAAGTCCCATCATATTTCGGCCCCTCTGGCATTTTGAACCGCTTCGGGGTTAACTTTGGTATTGTGCTTGGTTAGAACGACTATTGGGTGTACTTCTTTGAGTATGGTCCTTTCAATACTGGTGGTGCGCCCGGAATCTAATCCATTCGGGCATTTATTTCCCTTATAAACCGTATGAGTTCAATTTTAAAGGGATCATTTTCATTATTGTTGACGAAGCCGCTACCGTTCCCCCCGTCCCTATCAAAGCTGACTTCGCCCCTCGGGTGTTGTTGTCGACTCTCTATGTTGTTTGATTTGCGGGAGCACAGGGAGGAATTGGACCTCGTCCATTCGCTTGGAAGCACCCAACAATGCTTGCCTCAATTTTGTCATAACCTAATCCTGTCGTGAGAGATGTCTCATAATGGCCTTTTGTTGCTCCCTCAGAATCCTTGTTGTTTCAACGACATGCTCGTCTTCAGCATCATCAGGAGTTGCCTCTCGAACATGACATGAATACTACCTGCCATAGACCGGCGTGGCCTCATCCCCCTCGTTGCGGGTATCACTGTGGAATCTTAATGCTGAGGCTGATTTCCTTGGGCCTCAACATTGTGTGCGATGTAGACATCGTTATATGCCATTTTCTATGATTTTTTCTAAGAACAAAGAACTAAACAGGTTAGTAATAGATGCAAGGACCAACTCAATTGTACAACTGTCTAAACCCCATGGTGGACGCCAAACTGTTTACCAGTAAAACGGTATAGTTAAATTTATACGAGATCTATAGACAAGTGAATCGATTGATCCTAAAATGATAAATAAATTGGCAAAAATATAAGACTTAGCATTGAAATCGAGATAAGACAGTAGAAATCTTGATTCAGGGAGCAGAGCTTCTGAAGGCAGTAGTAATAATATCAATAAGCAAGAAGGTAAAATATTGTTAAGCTTTGAACAAAGTATAGAATGTGCTTCTTAGAAAATTCGTCTCCCTACAATGGTTGTAAGGGCTCACTATTTATAGTGGTACCTAGGGAACAAGGTCCTAGTATCAAACCCCTCTTAAATGTATGTGTAACGGTAGGCAGTGAATGTCATATTCTCTGTAATGGACCATATACTTAATGCTATAGATGTTCTTTATTAAATGCTACCAGGTGGTACGCATTTATTTCGTCTTTATGAACACCATCCCCTTCGGGAACAAACGAAGTCGTTGCCTTCATACCTGATTGCCTTCTATCTTCGACTGCATGTGTCGCTTTATCATGCGAGCATTTAATATGAACATATTTTACCTTATACAAAAACTAGTAAATTTGGGACATGAGGCAGAGACGGATATAGGATTTAATTTTAACATTTAAAGTTCTTAGCATTCAACTCATTGTACTTTTAAAATTATGGATTCATGCCTATTATTTGTTGTCATTTTACATTAAAAGTACTAAGTTCATATGAACATGGTAATACTCTACATCTGCCCCGGCAAGAGGAATTATTAAAATGTTTCATGAATATCGACACGTAGAGTTAAATTGAACCCACCCTTAGGCCGTAAATAGTCGACGTTCTCTTTAGACTAGGGTTAAAAAACGTAAGCAAGAAAAAAGTGGAAAATGATACCAAGACCAAAGCAACAATCCAGTTATCCAAAGAGGCATAGCAAAAGCAAAGAAAAGCACCTAAAGCCCAATGTAAAAGTCATCAGAAATTCCTTGAAACATTTGAGGAAACAAAGAAAAATTCTCTCCAAACAGGCTTTACCGTACCAAAATAGTATTATAAAGTACTCGTACACAACTCTGAAACTACGTACTCCAACTCTCTAGCTCACTGTTTTCCCACACTCTTTCTTCTAATTTTCTTTGTGTCAAAAAATCAAAATGGGCATTTGTTTCACTAAAGATTTCTGGTTCAAAAAATGGCGTTCAATACCAATAACTTCTCAAAAACAACCAGAAAAACCTTCACCACCACTTCCACCTCCAAAGCCAGTGATCCCTTCTTTCAATACTATGCCAAGAAGTAATAGCAGTAATATTGGACCAATTTTGGGCAAGCCTTACGTTGAAATTACAACCCTTTATGATCTTGACAAAGAACTTGGGCGAGGTCAATTTGGAATAACATATCTTTGTACTGACAAATCCACTGGATTAAAATATGCATGTAAATCTATATCCACAATAAAACTTGTAACTCCAAAGGATATAGAAGATGTTAGAAGGGAAATTATGATAATGCAGTATTTGAGTGGACAGCCTAATATTGTTGAGTTCAAAGGTGCTTATGAGGACAAGAATAATCTACATTTGGTCATGGAGTTGTGTTGTGGTGGAGAGCTTTTTGATCGTATTACTGCAAAAGGAAATTATTCTGAGAAAGAAGCTGCAAATATTGGAAGGCAAATTGTGAATGTTGTTCATGTTTGTAATTTTATGGGAGTGATGCATAGAGATCTTAAACCTGAGAATTTCTTGATGGTTAGTAAGGCTGAGGATTCTCCATTGAAGGCCACGGATTTTGGTCTCTCTGTTTTCATTGAGGAAGGTTAGTTCCAATTTCCAAATATATAGTACTACCTCCGTATCAATTTATGTGAAACGGATTAATAAAGAAAATTTGTCACAATATGCTTTTAACTTACTGCATAGAGCTAAGTCTCTTGTATTTAAGTTATATATGCTGATAATGTAAAGATTTTTTAACACTGTCAGTAATTCTACAATGTGATAGCATGTTATACCATTTTTACCACATTACTAATTAATGCTTGCCAAAGAGAATTGCCTAATAACTGGCCTTATTGTGTAAATATCTTTTATACTGTTTGATCAAAAAGTATGAAACCTTTTGTTAGACTAATTAAATAAGAAGATAATGGGTTAATCCTACTTAAACATAATAAATCCTAGATCAAAAACATGTTTGCACAGATAGCATGGAAATGCGTTTTAATCAATTTAATACAGCGAGTATTAAAATATACTGTTATGAATGAGTGGGAGAATAATTATTAGCAATAAATATATTAAATGACAATAAATTTAAATAGAGAGAATGATTCACCCAAACATTGAATGAGGTGGATGATTCTTCTCTCTGATAATGATGTAAGACAAATGAATATGAGAATATAGGGGGCTTTCTCGGATCTGATGCGAGAAATATGGGATAGACAGTAAATCGAATCTTTATGGAAAGGCAATATTTGTATGTCTCTTTAGAGTCAACTTTTCACAAGAGTTCTTATCATATAGAATATTACATGTCTTTTGCCTTATTTCTCCTGCTATTTATATGGGATATTCCCAAAGAACCCTAAAAAGTAAGACAGAAGGAATATTCAATGGAATATTCCCTTTGAAAGTTCCAAAGTCATTCTAGCCGTTACTTCTGTTCCTACTGCTCGACCTCGGCCCTAATGCAATGGCTCATTCTTGTTAACCACTGATCGACCTCGACCAAGCCGTCCGTGACGAGTTGCAATCTTCACATTTGATCACCTCTTCGTACCGAATTTCCTCAGTCGGATCTTGACCCATACATATACTGTCAGTGCGTTTACGCACTTAAACTCAAGTCGTTATTCTAATAAGTCACTCCCATGTTCGTGATCATGGAAGTATCTTCAGTTTAAAATACTTGCTCTATTCAATCTATAGACTGCTAAATATGAAGTATCCCTTAGTGTAGCGCAAGTTTATAGATGTCTTGAAGCGGGAAGAAAGAATTTGCTTCATGTTTACTTGCCAGTCTGTTGTAAATGATATATAGAGACATAAAACTTCTTGAAGCTCTAGCCATGAAGTGAGATTATTACTATCTTTTAGTTCTCACAATCAACTTGCAACTAAGATTTAAAGAATTATTCTACAGGAAAAGTTTATAAGGATATTGTTGGAAGTGCATATTATGTGGCTCCTGAGGTGTTACGGTATAACTATGGGACGGAGATAGACATCTGGAGTGCTGGAGTCATGTTATACATTTTGTTGAGTGGTTTTCCTCCTTTCTCAGCTGGTAAGTGAATTTTTTGCCTAGCACAGTATCTTAGTTGTATGGTACATCTTAGTTTTTAGGCTAAACAAACCCAAAATCACTATTAATATGGTGTTAAATCGCCCGTTTGGGGTGATTTTACCCAACAGACTTCATACTATAAAGAGTAGTTTCTTATCAACTTCCAATATGGAACTTTGTTCGCACACTCAACATTAGTTGATCAACAATTTGTGTTTACAATTCTCTTGTATATCAGAGACCGAAGAAGGAATATTTGAAGAGATACTTAAAGGCCACCTGGATCTTGAAAGCTCTCCCTGGCCTTCTATATCTGCCTCTGCAAAGGATCTTGTCAAGAAAATGTTGACAGTGGATCCTAAGAGAAGGATCACTGCAGATCAAGCCCTCGGTAAGTGGACATACAAATGTTAGCTTCTATCGGTAAATCTTCAAAGTTGTAATCCGTATATTATCAGATGCAAGATGAACCATATTCTCGTGTGACATCTCTCACTGATGCTCCTTTCATAAAAGATTTATCTATAGACACATAGTTCAAGTTTGTCACATTTTAGATTATTGTACAAGTTTTTAAATTGCAACAACACTTGAATCTTGATTCATGAACCAGAACATCCATGGCTGAAGGAAGATGGTGAGGCCTCGGACAAGCCTATCGATAGTGCTGTTTTGGTCAGGATGAAGCAATTCAGAGCAATGAACAAGATGAAAAAACTTGCTCTTAAGGTAGTAACCACTTGGCTTAACATGTCATTAGATATTGTCAATAAGACTTAAAACCCCTTTTAGGTGTCTGTTTCTCCCACAAGATTTCCAAGTGCATATTGTATATTTCATATTAGAAAAGTGATGAGATACTTAGTATATCCGTTCGTTAGTTCCTTATTCCTTTCTCCCCCCTCTGATGCTGTAGTATCTACTGCTTAAAGGTTATTGCAGAGAATTTATCAGAAGAGGAAATCAAGGGACTTAAGCAAATGTTTAGCAACATAGATACTGATGGAAGTGGTACAATCACATATGAAGAACTTAAAACTGGATTATCTAGGCTAGGATCCAAGCTCACTGAATCAGAAATAAAGCAACTGATGGAAGCAGTAAGATTTTGCAATCTTTTGATATTCCTAAGATCAATTTATGTGCAGTCAAAGTTAAAACAAAAGCCTGCTTCATATAAGAAAGTTAAGTTTTTCCTTCAAATTATTCCTCTTTCAGGCTGATGTTGACAAAAGTGGGAGTATAGACTACATTGAGTTCATTACTGCTACAACGCATCGACACAGACTCGAAAGAGAAGAAAACTTGTTCAAGGCTTTTCTGTATTTTGACAAGGATTGTAGTGGGTATGTATTCCCTATTTTCTTGCAAATATGTTTGTTCAGAGTTATAGTACTTGATATTTAACCGGCATCATACGGCTTCTTTTGGAATCACCAGATTTATTACAAGAGATGAACTCAGACATGCTTTGACCGAGTACGGAATGGGGGATGAAGCTACAATCGATGAAATTCTTGATGACGTTGATACAGATAAGGTTCGTGTTTTCTCATAAGCTATATCTCATATTCTAATTTCTTTTCTGAGGTTTTTGTTATATATGTGGTTTGCTTTAACTATGCAGGATGGGAAAATTAACTATGATGAGTTTGTTGCGATGATGAAAAGAGGTACGGTTGATGGTGAAGGAAATCATTGATAGATTAACCATTATGCTCTTGCCTTCATTTCTTGCAAATGTGGATCAACTTGAGTGTAAAATGGCAAGCATTCTCTATCAATAAGATCTTTCAGTAGTTGAATTTGGGTTGTTTGATTTGCTCAAGCTGACCCTGTTTATAGTAACTGCATTTGTACTATACCAAGAATAAGATCCATTTACAATGAAGTGCACCTTACCTCATATTTTGGTGTGGAAAATGATCTTTTAATTTGATTTAATTGGTTTCTTCATGTAAAAGCTTGCTAGTTATTGTTGTGAAAATGGATTAAAGGAAACTTACCTAGTAGTAGGGCAAGGGCAGCCTGATGCACAAAGCTCCCGCTATGCAGGGAAGGGCTGGACCACAAGGATCTATTATATGCAATATTACCCTGCATTTCTGCAAGAGGCTGTTTCCACGGTTCAAACCTATGACCTCGTGGTCACATGGCAACAACTTTACTAGTAAAAGCTTGCTAGTTATTGTTGTGAAAATGGATTAAAGGAAACTTACCAAGTAGTAGGGCGAGGGCACGCCGGTGCACAAAGCTCCCGCTATGCACGAGGTCCGGAAAGGGCCGGACCACAAGTATCTTTTGTATGCAACCTTACCTTGCATTTCTGCAAGAGGCTATTTCCACGGTTCAAACCTATGACCTCATGGTCACATGGCAGCAACTGTACCGGTAAAAGCTTGCTAGTTATTGTTGTGAAAACGGATTAAAGGAAACTTACCTAGCAGTAGGGAAAGAGCAACCCGGTGCACAAAGCTCCCGCTATGCACGGGGTTCGGGAAAGAGACGGACCACAAGGGTCTATTGTACGCAGTCTTGCACTGCATTTCTGCAAAAGGCTGTTTACACGGATCAAACTCATAACCTACTGGTCACATGGAAGCACCTTCTTACCTAGTAGTAGTACAATTTTATTGTTTTCCGTCTCAATTGTGAAACACACAAACCTCTTAAATCCCAAGCTATATAAAGAACTATGTAACTCCACGAACTTATGATTATATCCTCAAAAAGACATACAACAAAAGATTCAGGGGATTGGAATAGAAACAAGTTAACTCTCACACATGATAAAGAGGCTAACTAGAATTAGTTAACAGTAACTTTGCCAACCATTCCAGCTCCCTGGTGAGGTGAACAGTAAAAACTGTAGGTTCCTTTCTCACTCAAAGTGACAGAGTAAGTCTCCCCTGGTGCATTGAGAAGGTCCTCTTCAGACATTGAAATCTTAGATGCATCAACACCAGCTGGAATTTCATCTTCATCAAATACAACGTTGTGTGGGAACCCTGCATTGTTCTTGAACGTAATTTTCTCACCGGCGCTAACGCTGAAGTTTCCAGGAACAAAAGCAAGACTGCCATCATCGCCACCAAGCAATACTTCAATAGCTAAGGCATTGCTAGCTAGTATTGCACTTGCAGCTGTAGCAACAACAACTGCACCTACATCTTTTAGTGAAGCCTTTACTACCATTTTGGATGTTTGATTGGTTGACACCATTTTGGCTACATTGCTAATTTTGGAAGATGTACCGGATTTAAGTCCAGTGAATGATGGGATAGTAACTGCAGCAGAGGTTACACTGGCCATTGTCTTGCTTTTCACTATTCTTGTTACTTCTCTAACTGGCTAAGTGAAAACTTTGGATCAAGAAAGATAAGGAGGGATGATGAGGTTATATTATGTGTTTGATTGTGAGGGAATATGGATTTTCTTTATGTGTGGTGTGTGTTTGTGGTGAGATGATGAGTTGTTATCTGGTAGGAAGGAATGCTATTGGTAGAGATGGATTATATACTTTGACGTGGAAATGGATTTATATCAAGAGGAGTATATGTGAGATGGAAAGTAAAAGAGTATTGTGCTACAAAAATTGAATTTTCCAAGGGCAGAATATAAAATTGGCCGTTCGGCTAAAACGGAGGATTAAATTTTTGCCTTAGTTCTTCAGATTAAAGGATCCTGGGACCAGGTTGGGATTTTAGTGAATCATAATTTTTTTTTAATAAGCGTGGTGATAGGATCAGCTTGCCCGCACATCGGCTAATTCCACGTGATACATGTTATCTCCCAAATGGGCAATTTCTGTCTTCAACTTGAACTATATTTAAAATTGAATAATTTGTTATAGTACTTGTACTATGTTCCCACCTAGTGTCACAAAATAAAATTTTAGATATGTGCAGTCCGTATGATATTTTTGCAAGTTACGACAACGAATACTTTGTCCATTTTCCTTTCCTTATCTTTATTGTGTGGCATTGACATGAGACGCTGCGTAAAGAGGGCCAAAAATTACAAGCCAAACACTTGGAAGATAACAAGATTTCTAGCAAGAGCAATTCTTTTCCCCGGATATAGATAAGTTCAAGTTCCCCTAGGTTCTTACATTGATACTCCATTGTAATTCTACAAAGAACTGCAAACGGAAAAAGTTATCAAGTGAAAAGACATTAAGGGTGTGTTTGGTATAACGGAAAATGTTTTCCAATAAAATATTTTCTTGAAAAATAAGTAATAATCTTACTCATTTTTGGTGTTTGGCATGTCGTAAATTAAGAAAAATAACTTCTCAAGAGTATTAATAAATAATTTAGATACAATAAACATGAAGTCATAAACTTTCGAACCCACAAATTTTATAAACTTCTAAACTGCTAAACTTTCGAACTCGTAAACTCTATAATTTGTAAACCCGCAAACTTCCAAATACATAAACTTCTGAACTCATAACTTTGTTCTCGTAAAATTTCGAACCTGTAAACTGAAAAATAAAAAAAATCAGAACTGAAAATATATATATATTTTGCCGCGAGGGAGGAGTGGGCCATGGTGGTGCAGAAATTAAAAATACAAAAGAAAAAAGTAAAAAAAGTTTCTTTTTTTTTTTTT